TGAGGGGCAATGCTTCATGCATGACAGCAAAGTATCACTTCCAAACAGTGATATAGCCAAGAATGAACAGAACTTACCTACTTATAATTTAGGAGAGTTTACCCAATACTTCACGCCCAGACGGCAAGCTCAAGTCAGGGAGTTTTCGTGTTACTCTGGCTGAGACTGAGCAGAGGAGCAGACTTGGCTCAAGCATGCCAACAGGCTCCCACTGGAGTTTGGTGCTACAAGGGATGATGGGGATGGGGGGACGGGTGGGCAGCATGCTCCACAAAAGGGGTGAAACTGAAGGACTTAACTTCTTATGTAATAAGAAATGAGACCATGCATGTCAAAGACTGGTGTCTGAAGGCCAAATTACATCTTCTTTTAGATGAAGGTAATAAAGAAGCACTATGAAAATATAAAAATGAGAGAAACGATATGTGATAGTACTTGTTTGCCACCTCTGAGAAAATGACTAATAGATTGGATTAACAATGAATTTTTGATTTCTGAAGAAATATTAAAGTAGTTTCTGGAAGAATAACTCCTTCTCTTGTGCAACATAACAAAAAAGCAAGACACCATCACTGTGGAGACAGAGAGACACAAACAACCATCAAGGTTCAGAGTGACATTGTAAAGAGGAGTTTCATCTTTAGGTCACTAGTTGAATTTTAAATAAAGTTTCCACATGCCTTTTGGAAGTCATTTGATGTCCTGGGTCAGCTCGATCTCAAATACAGCTCATTTCCTAGCAGACAAGTGTTTCCATCATAAGCACTGCAGCAACAGATAATCTCCCTGATGAGCCCAGCAGAAAGGAGCATCCTCAAACCAGTTTTCCTGGAAATACTGTGTCACAACAGTGCAAATAGAGGACACTCGTTTTCCTTTCCCCTGACACCTAAAGCTGAACTAATGTTCACTGGATATCATAATACAAATGGAATAATTTCATTCTCTTTTTGCAGTTTCTGAAGGTCTGCAGGGAAGGCTGACTCAGCCCAGGTGCTATTACCTTAGGAACTGGTCTAAATCATAAAACCATAGAATGGTCTGGGTTGGAAGGGACCTTTAAAGGTCATCTAGTCCAACCACCCCCTGCAATAAGCAGGGACATCTTCAACTCGATCAGGTTGCTCAGAGTCCCCTCCAACCTGACCTTGAACATTTCCAGGGATGGAGCCTCCACTAACTCTCTGGGCAACCCATTCCAGTGATCCATCACCCTACCCTCATTGTAAAAAAATTCTTCCTTATATCCAGTCTAAACCTACCCTCTTCTAGTTTAAAACCATTACCTCCTGTCCTATTGCAACAGGCCCTGCTAAAAAGTTTGTTCCCATCTTTCTTACAAGCCTCGTTTAAGTACTGGAAGGCTGCTCTAAGGTCTCCCCACAGCCTCCTCTCCTCCAGGCTGCACAACCCCAACTCTTCTAGCCTTTTCTCATAGGAGAAGTGTTACAGCCCTCGGATCATTTTTGTGGCCTCCTCTGGACCCGCTCCAACAGCTCCACGTCTTTCCTGTGCTGAGGGCTCCAGAGCTGGATGCAGGACTCCAAGTGAGGTCTTACCAGAGCGGAGCAGAGGGGCAGAATCCCCTCCCTTGACCTGCTGCCCACGTTGCTTTGGAAGCGGCCCAGGATACGGTTGGCCTTCTGGGCTGCGAGCACACATTGGTGGCTCATGTTCAGCTTTTCATTCACCAGTACCCTCAAGTCCTTCTCCTCAGGGTTGCTCTCAATAACCAACAATGACGTTCAAAGCATACTTGTGATCACCAGATACCTTGCTTTTTCAAGAAAAATGCCCGAGTGCTGGGCTAGCAGGGCTTGCTTAATGTTTTTTTAACCCTTTTAGACACTGAAGAAGTCTGTTGTGAAAAAGCATGCAAAGTGACCAAGCAAATAAACCCAATCAGCCTGTCTCCCCATCTTTATTTGCAAATTCTGGCCAAACTTGATTAGAACTTAGTGTAGGAAAGAACAGTTTTATGTGCCGCAATTTAGATGTATCCCTAACTAAAAATAAATACATAACTGAAACCTTAAAAAGAAAACTGAGGAAGATAATTGGATAATTAATAAAGGAGTAGTCTTAGTACCAATGGCCACCTCAAACTGTAAAACCACAGCATAAAATATGACACCACAAAAACCCCCATTTCATTTGATTTATGCTTCACAAAAAAGCAAAACAAATGTTATACAAATATTTTCAGTAGCTGAAAACTGGCTATCACTAGAAAAACAGAGCTACAGACATTCCTCATTGCTGGGCTGAACTGTTCTCAAAATAATCCAGTGTAAAGGCCAGTGATGGAAACATTTCTAACACTCCACAGACACAAAGCATGAAACTGCTGAGTCTGGTGCAGATCACCTTGCTTGTGCTTTGGAAGCATGAGTTAAGCTTCAGTTTGCACAGCCCTCCGAACTCTCCTGGCCTCTCTCATCCTAAAATCTCAGAACGGTCACTGCTGTTTTCTTGCAAATATGTCTAAGTAACATTCCGAATAACATTTCCTTGCATGCCCATTAGAAATAAACATGCTGGAAACAGCAGAGAGTAAGGAGCCAGAGTGACTTCGCTGTCTCAGGAGGTGCTATGAACAGCTCTGAAAAACACACGTACTGTTGCCCTTTGCAGATCTTTCAGACCGAAAGAAGCAGGAGAGCAGAATTTTAATAGCATCTAAAAGGCAAATCCCAGAATCTATCTAGTACCGAAAAGGAGAAAAATTCTAGAGAAATTATGTCAGAAATTATTCTTATTGTTCAAGAAGTACACCCTATTTTCTCTCACTGTTGCAGAAAAAAAGCCACCAAATATATTTTTGAGAAAATATTTAAATAAAATTGATGAAGTGTCAACACTTGACTGCTTGTTTAAATTGGACAAAATTATAAAAGCTGTTACAATGTGTTCAATTTGTTCCAATGCTATTATATACCATAAGGGCTCATTCAAGCAGTGAGAATACTGCAGACAAGGCGTGAAGATTACAAGATGTCTCAGACTTCTCCCTGGTACAGTATGAAATGCAGTATCTAAAGCAGCTGAAATTATTTAGTGGAGCTAATTCATTCCCACCAGGGCTTGATAAGGAAAAAAAGAATCACTGTTCCTTTATGCTGCAAGAACACTTTGTTATTTGCTTAATGGGAAGTTAAATGAATCAATGCTTTAGACAGCAAAAAACTCCACCATCAATTAATGTGCCAAATTTTTAATAGGAAAGCAAATCAGATTTATTTAAAAACTGAGGTCTCAGTTCTGGTGTATTTATATTTTCTCAAAGTTGAGCTTATAGTTTATGATATTTTTCATAGTTTATGCTTTCTGAGGAGTACGGGTGACCATGGGAGAGGACTCCCATTTCTGCTCTGCTCCTGCTGAGTGTACTTTACACACGTAGCCCAGGTGACTAATCAAGAGAACCATGGCAAGCTGTAGCTGTTTATGCTTCAGTTGCACCTCAGCTGATAAAAAGTGGTGTACAAGAGCTCAATACACACTGTCATCAAGCACCACTCACATTATCAACTGAAAACTAGGCATTTGAACGGTAATTTTTTCTCTCCTCTTCCATAATCTGTCACACTTGGACGGAAGCACAACGGAAGTCCCCAAGGACCATCTGTAATGCTCTCAACACCTGAGTGTTGAGTTCTCATATTCCAGCTACAACACAGACATGTTGGTCTGAAATTCTGGACCAGATGTCTTTGCACAGGCACTTCCAGGCTGTGGAGGAAAATGCATGGCTACAGTCTCTCAGCAGTGCTTACAGCCTCTCAACTTCAGTGCAGCACATGGTCCTAACATTCATGTCAGACGGACTGGCAGAGCCTAGGAACCCGAGAGCACACCAGTGTCGCAGCTGTATGACTTTGCCCTGAACAGCTTGCACCGCACCGGGAAAGCAGCACATCAGCTGAAGATGAATCCCTTGATGTTTAACAATATCCATTCATCCATACTTCTTGCCAGCATAGATATTTTGCTTTGAAAATTAGACATCCATACATTTACTGAGGCAGGCGACTTTTTGGTATCTTTGTACAACCTAGGTGAGTGAGAAGCAAAGAGTTCTACCCATAAATAAGAAGCATATGACCCACTGCGTGTTCCACAAGACCAGGCAAGAAACTAGGCAGTTAAACTTCTGAACTTCTCCTAGAACTACCAGCAAAACTAGCATGAGAAATGCATGAGCTTACTTCAGTCATAAAACACCAGAGAAAAAGAACCTTAAAAATAAAACTCATCATGATTTTTTAAATATCAGTGTTATGAAACTTTTTTCTTTGTAGTATTATTCAAATGTGGAAACTACCATGGAAATTCACTATGGCTTCACCAAGGCTGGCCTCTAATTGGGACTTCTGTGCTCTGCAAGCCCCCGTGCTAGTGTGGGGCCTCCCATATGGGGGGGGCTGCCAGCGGTGGATCTCTCTCACGGCTCGCAAGCCTCTTTGCCAACAAGCTGCTCCTCACTGGGAGCCAGAGACCATACGCCAAACAACCCCCTACAGCAGTTCAAACTTTGCAGAATTTTACCCTTTTAGCACACCTTATTGCCCTATCACCTTTTCAATGTCATGTCTCAAAACCATTGTTTCTTCAGCATATAAACAGGGAGAAAAAGTCCTGTATTTCAAAGTCAAAACAATAATAATAAAAAAATTATTTGTTCTGCATTGGAGAATTCCCCTCCATCTTAGTTTACTATTTATAAACCATCAGTCTGGGATTAATTATTATAAATCCTTAAAGCCGAAAAGAAGATTTTAGGCATGTTATGCTACGTATAATCTACACCATTATTAAACTGCAGCTCAAATGCACTTTGTGTCCTATTTCTGCTGGTCACCTTTTCACATTTCTGCATTTACCTATGGTAAATTTTACTCCTTGAGAGAAAGCATTTCTTAGCATCTTCAAAACATCAGACCACCCATCCGACGTGCCACTGCACGGGAGGAGCGGTGTCACCTGTAACGCACACTCACCGGGCACGCCGCCTCTCATCCAGTAATCAATGTCTGTTCCCTCTGCGTTGTCGTAAACATCTGTAACATTGATGGGCTGCAGCAGAGTCATGATCTCTTTTACGATGTCCCGAGCTTTAGCATTTCCAGTAAAACCCAGTCCAGATGGCTTGAAGGTGCCCTCATCAGACTCCATGACGATATCGAAGTTGGAGATATTTTCCTAAACATTTGGGGAAAGAAGACACTGTTTCGTGATTGCTATTTTAACTGGCAGCGTATACTGGGTTCTAGATGTCAGTGTGAGTATACTGCCACAAATTTGTTTAAGAAGCAGAGAAATGCTTCCTGTAATCGTGTGTATGTAAGCATAAATTAAGGGACCTAATTTTTCCCTATGAAAATGCTGAGACAGTTCAAGTTCATTTCTGAGGCATCAATATTCTGCAGCAGTCACAACATGACTAGCCTGCTGTCCCCAAATAATTGCTTTAAGACTTTAGTCCCACCTAGAAAGGTAAGCCATTACCACCATATTTCAGTTTTCACTTGCAGCTCTCGCTTTCTTCTCAGACCTGAAACTCAGAAAGTCTGTCGCAGGGGGGAGGGTAACGCAGGCTGGTTGGCTTTAAAATTAGATGCATTCAAAGCTTGCTTAGACTGTGAAGGACATCCCATTTAAAAAAACAGCTGCTGCCTCTTCAGAAACACATTCTTTTCAATACATTATGTATTGAAAACATGGTGAAATTTCATGTTTTCATTGAAAACATGAAAACAGCTCTGACTTTGGTTGGAGGACTGAAATGTCAAGGTTCCTCCTCACCTGAAGGAATGTCTGTTTTGAGGGAAGTTTGTGCTTCCAAGGTAAGTCCTACAGGAAACACAAAATTTTAAGATTCTGTGTACAAACAGTATAATGTTTGCTTTTAGTGTGCACTTGGAAGATTCTTTTTAGCTGAAAGCATAAAAATTAGTATCCAGAGCCATTTATTTGCTTCCCATACACTTAGAACGCTCAGTCACAAAGGTCTGATTGGAAAAAAATACTTAGGGACTTTACAGGAAGGAAGGTCTCACTCTTTTTGGGAGGGACGTAACTTTTTTTGCAAAATGAAACAGTCTATGGCCAGGTCAGGCAGAAAAAAGCTGTATTTCAGACTCTCTTGAATGTGACTAAGAGAACTTACTGCAGGTTTTACTCCTATGCCCAGATCTCATTCCAGAATTTTATGGCTGTCATGGGTTATTACATGAAAATCGTTATAAGAGATATGTGATAGCAGTAAGGAACAGAACCATGTCATTAACAGCTTACATAAGCCCACAATTCAGTAAAGAATTCTTTCACATTTTTCTAGATATAAAACCAAATATGAACTACAGGTGGCTGTGAACGTGATATTCATGTAAGTTTTCAGAAGTTCTTTATAGAATTTGCCAAGAACTGTGTTTTACACTTCACTTTCCCACAACTTTTCTGTTTTGAGGGAACAAGTTCTAACATAGCAGAGGTATTCACTTCTAACTTAGAAATAAATCCAGCAGTTAAAAATAAAAAAATAAAATCTTTCAATATGATGAACTGCAAATGTTATAATACCTTAAAATAACCAATCTACCTGCCCAACTATTGGAAATCAAGGTGGAAATAACCAATGGTGTCACCAAATTGGCAATCGCTATTTTGATACAATGAAAAAATTCTTCAGTTTATAAAAGTTTAAATGCAAAGAATTAGGATACATGTGGTGTCTAGGCCTATCATCAAATGCAGTATTACAGGTTATGAACCTCAACATGAAATCGTGATTCATGGACCCTTTGAACACAATGGGGGAGAAGCAGGTCAAGAAAAGCACACTGCATGGTAAAAGCGACCAAAGATGCTCCAAAGTCACAGGTATAACAGAAAGAATGTCTCAAAATGTAAATCTTCTTTATCTCACTAGCCCAAGGAGCAAGATGTAGGGAAGACAATTCACATTTTGGTGTGCTGGTGAATTGCCAACGAAAGCTAACTTATAGTGAGCCCTGCAGAAATATCATGATAGAAATCACTCAGAAACAGCCTCGTCAACTGAATCTTTGAAGCAGGACTTCTGCTCATTTTTAGAGAAGCTGCAATGAGTAGGAGCGATAAGGAGAGTGGAAGGGACTATTCAGGGCAGCGAGATGAGGAGAAGAGCGAGCATGGGTACAGCATGGATGTTGAGAAGAAATCTCACCTACCACTCCAAAGAACAGAATTCCATAGTTCCAAAACTTAATGAACTGCTAGTATAGCAGCATTACTGCAGTCTTCAGTTGTGTTTTCTCATATAAATGTTTGCATGTGTTTTTAATATGAAACTGAGAAAACAAACCACCCACAATACATCACACTATATTCTTGCTCTGTAAGAAAGCTGTTCAGTTCTGAGAACGTGCTGGAGTGGCACGAAAACAGGATGCCCTGGGAAGAGAAACTAGACTTATTGGGGGACAAAACCAAAACAGGTCACACATACTTAAAGTACCATGTGTCCTTGAGAAAGCTTTTAGAAGATAGGATTAATTATAAAACTACTCACTGTTGAGTTTGAAAGTTGCAATCTTAAAAAAAAGGCAGTTAAGTTGGTTTCACCACACCCATTTTTGTACCAATATTGGTGTTTCTACTTACAGAGAAAGAAATACGCACCGGAAAATAACCTACAGGGAAGATACTCTGCTGTCCTTTGCCCTCTATGGCGCCACTCAGCAAAGCAGGGTAAGACCGCACATTGCTCCCGTGAGGGAACAGAACAACAAACCAGTAAGAGTTCATAAAACAACTGCAGGCTCAGCTGTTTCCTTCATTTTTCCCCATACTGAACGTATCATTTAAATAAGCATTTTAAACTCAGTACACAATTTTTTTCAGTACGCAGTTTCTTCAGAAAGTAATCCCATTTGCTGTATCTTGATACTGTGCCACTTCTCTTAGCACATACCAGAAAATTAAATCTTGTTGGAGTAACCTGCTGCCCAATTCTCCGAACATCAAAACAGACTTTCATCCTGTATCTTCCTATGACTCGGTCACAGAAGAGGTCACCTCTCTTTATCTTATCATGTTCAGCTCTTTGGCAGAATTTTTAAATGAAACATTACGGTAACTACTGCATGGGAAAACTGGCTTGCTATAGCTTGCTACTTTCATTGAATATGCAAATTAGCATGATCCTTGCCAATACTTCTCCTATTTTTCATTTTTTTTAATTTTAGTTCCTTTTATTTCTGTTTTCTCTATAAACAATCTATTTTTCTCTCTGTTAACCAAAACTAAAAATGTAAGTGCTTCTCATCTCTAAGGCAAACACTTGAAAACATGAAATTACAGTCAAATCTTTCCAATTAAAGGAAACCCTTGTCATACGCATGACCTGTACTTCTATCAGTAGGAAACACATCCCATTTCAAGTAGACACAAGCAATCCCAGGCATACCGGGAGCTACTTCTTTAGTCAAAACCCCAATTGTTAAATCTTACCAAATGTTAAAGTAGGCTCCAACATCTCATGACTAATCTACTGAGTCACTGATCACAATTCCTCTTACTGAGCTAAAGCAGTGAGATACCTGAAAGATAAAGGAGAGAAAAGCTGTCCTAAAAGCCTTCAGTAATTTGGGGCTATTTAAAATAGAGTGCTACGACATTTCCAGTAGCTCATTTACTTGTTTTCTTTTTCATTCCACTGAGAAAAATTACCACTTTACAGGGAAAATACTAAAGTCCGTAGTGGCAAAACACTGTCCTTGACTAATGGTTAATTTGTTCCAGTAACAAGGGACATCAGTTAATCCAACAGTGCATTTTCAGCTTTCTGTTATTGATTTACACTTAACTTTAGGAAACACCAACACTTGTATTCTTATATTCCAATGTCTGACTCAGAGCAGTTTGGATCCAAGCACAGCACGGCGACTACCATTTTGCAGAACTTACGGTGAAATTACAGTCACCCCACTTGCAGTACTAAAAGTGTGTTTAAATCAACACCCAGCTGTCTTAGGCTGGCAACTAGGACTACAGGAAAGACAAGAAAAAACAACAGAAACACCTAAGTGGATGTGACAGCTGGAAAAGAAAAAAATAAAATAAATCATATCCTCTAAGTACTTAAGAATATATAAACATGGTATAGTGTAATTTTGAGTTGCTGTTTAAGATCAGGGTTATTTAATGAAGCAAAACAGCATAAATGGAAACTGCAGAAAAAACACCAGAACAGCTGTTAGGAAGCAGAGGTGTGCCAGCATCAAGGCACAATAACCACCAGCCATAAGCATGATGATACTGCTCACACTCGTTTTGAATGAAGACAGGGTGAATCAGGAACACTGTGAGTTACAAATTTCTGTAAATTCTCCCATCATTGTATGGGAGAATTTTTGATAGATGACAAGGTATGAATATCATACTTTTGTTAAATGATGAAACATTTTTCTGCCACATTTTTTGGGAAAGCAGTCTGTAAAAAAGTCCATAGATTTTATGGCTTGTTCTCTATCAGAGTTCTGACCTCAGAGAAGGCAGTGACAAAAGTCCCAGTAACTTCAATAGCCCTGGAGCAGGATTTGGTCATGTACTTCTTAGCATTTCACTCAATAAAAACATGCCACTAGCATGTCTTGCCTTGTACAATACCACTACTGTTTCCTCTGCAGCCACTTGCCAGCACTTACAGAGATGACCACTGAGCATTGTAAGTTCTCTGGGATGACAGACAAGAAACAGCAGACAGCTCTGAAGACAGCAGCAGGCTATGAAAGGTATGCATCAGATTACCTGCAGCCTTGTCTTGGGAGGTTTGTCCTTTGACAAAGAGGCATATCAAAGAAAAGTGCTCTTTCTGGAAACCATTCCGTAACTTAAGCCCCTTTAGTGCTCAAATACAAGGTTATCAAAACACTGGCTATGACTCTGAATGACTCCGTGCCACTGCTGTCCCTTTTTGAAAGGTTGTAGGTTTTTGTTTGAAAACAGGCAACACTGCCAAAATGAAAAACTGTGGTTTACATCTTTCAAGCAAAGACAACTTTTACTGCTTTCAATAAGCGAGTACTTTTGTAACTTTCAGTAACAGATTGATAACAATAAATTTGCTATACCTTAGAAATTATCACAGCACACACATTGTTAATATTTCCTGGTTTTACGCAGAATGCTTTTAGGTTCTCATCTGGGTAAGTGGTGCA